TACTGTAATGTTGCGCTGCTTTATTTGGTTAATCGTCCAGTCTGTGAAGAAGGCATTCAAGTAAGAATTGCATTGTAGTATGACTCATTTCCTGGCACATACAATTTATATCAGGTCAGCGTTCACGGTTCAACTTCTGATATTCAGATTGAGTTCTAGGGCAAACTGGTTTGTTCGACTTTCAAGAAATTCGAGTTCTAGTGAGTTCGAGAACCGAGGTACGACTGTATTTATATTTCTACTCATTTTGAAAGGTTTGTTGTGTCTAGCCTCCACTTAATAGTGTGTTTCTGTGTTTTACAGCTAATAAGAAAAAGGTGTCTGTTTAAATGGCACTTAATAGGTGAGCCACTGTTTAACAAACAAATGATTTACAACAGAACAAAAACAGAAGCATATGTGTATTGAGAAAACGACTAGGAACCTGTCACCGCGGTTAAGTTAACTGAATATGGAATATGAGGCTTTCTGGCTTTAATAACTTTTAACGGAAGGTGGGGCATTTTTAATGACAGAATTGTGATGTCCAGTACACAGACATCGATGCACACCGATTATTTTTTCGCTTCAAACCATTCCGTGATTTGTGCCAAATCGTGTTAATAGCTAATAAAATAGGTCCTGTCGGCTGTAATGACATGATGGTTTAGCATTTTGGGCTCATGGCGACTGTTGCACACCCCTTTGTTTCCCAGATTGCTTTACATACAAATTTTAATTAATTTTTGAATGTTCGAATGTATCCGTATACTGTGCAATGGGACAATACATGAATTGGTTAATAACTTTAAAACTAGAAAAGACAGGCACATCTAATGAAGTGTGCTGTGATCAGTGGACAACAAGGAACAATGCACACCCATCGGGTAGAGGTGGGCGATAAATCGATTTTATCGATTAATTCGAATTTACAGTTCAGGATGATGTGTTTTTATGAAAATCGATTTTATTACTTATTTTACACGTGAGCGCCAAAAGCGGAACTAATGCGACGCACCGTTCTTCACGGGTACATTAGCGCGGTGCACCCAAACATTGCAGCGGGTTCACAAAAATGGCAATGGTTCGGTTTTGTGCCGTCGGACACAGACCAAACAAGTCCTTGTTGTAAAGTCTGTTTAGAAACTGTGGCAACCAAAGGAAGCAGCACGACAAATTTGTTCCAGCACCTAAAGTGGAGGCACACAGGGGGAGAAGTGCAGCTCCCAGCGAAATGAAAATACCCGCAGCACCAGCACGGCATCCAAAGTTAAGCAAGCAACCGTCCCTGACACGTTTTCGAACTGTGTGCCATATGATAAGAATGGGGCAGGATGGAAGGTGATAACAAACGCTATCGCAATGTATATTGCAAAAGACATGGTGCCCATACATACTGTGTAAAAGCCGGGATTCATTAACATGCTAAAAGTTTTTACAAGTTTCTGAAAGTGTTTACAATGGCGTGGTCTGCCATATCACTTACAAGCATCTTTTTTGGCTTGTCAGATTGCACTTTAACTATAAAGTAAACAAACAAAAAAAAACAAAATAAAGTTAAAACTTGTTTTGAACCATTTATTTGTCATCTGTCGTTTGATTTTGATTAGGGGAGGGGACAATCGATTAAAATCTAAAATTGTGAAAAAAAATTGGAGATTTTATTTTTAGGCCATATAGCCCAGCTCTACCCTGGGGTTTTCAGAATAACTTTCTCTGTAACAGTTATTAATTAATACACTGTATGCATATTAAATGCCATTCCATACATATTAACAGAGAGAGCCCCTCACGATTCGCGCGCCAATGTCGTACGGATCATCTAGGTACGCCGGCATTGTCTTCAGGGAAATTGTAGTGGGAGGGGCAGTGCTCATATAGGGCTGGCTTACGCAGAAACCTCGACTTAACCAAGAACAAAAACTGCTCGGAGCAGTTTTGAGACTTAGCGTAAATTGCCATGGCAGCATGCCTCGACTAAAACCTACCCACCTTTCGTAGTACGGGTTAATCGCGAAGTTACACCACACGTCATCCAGTTAATCGCTAAGTTACCCGGATAAGCCAGTAACCCCACTTTGTAATACAGGCCACCGATCTAGATATAGTTGGGCTCACAATGCACAGAACCCCATTCACATTACACCAGACCTTTACGGTTCCTCCTGCAGGTAATGGGCCCACAAGAGATTTTATATTTTTATTTAGTATCAAAATAAAAAAATAATGCTGACTTTGCGGAATCTAACCTGAACTGGGTGGAGCCCATCAGCGACACTCACTGGCCCAGACAGACGTACCTCATAGACGGCCAGGTCAATGCCAGCGTAAGGCAGGATGCCCAGGATGTTGGGCAGGTAGCCCTTGTAGAAGGTCCGCAGCCCTTCCATGCGGAGGATGTGCCAGGCGCAGTCGGCCATCCCGGAGAACTGACCCGTCTTCCTCAGCGTAAGGCGGGTTTTCAGCACCTGGAAGGCAGAGGAGACGGAGAACGGGGTCTCATTTTCATGCCATCGAATTCGCTCTGGGACTTCACTCTCATTACACTGCAGTGGCGTTTCTGTTGAGCAAGACTTTGTGCATTTTGAAGAAACACTCAAAAAAAGTAAAATACCGTAAAAACGTTTTGTTCTTTTGAGGTCATTTTTGTGGCAAGTCCAAAAAATAGTAATTAATTTGCAAAACTGCAATGGGAACAGCATGTGCGAATGAGCAGATATGCAGGACACTATGATTAGCTGTTACACAGACACTAACTCCATGTTAAAGCACAGGATGAGAATCTTAGTGCATACTCACATTTGGCCCAGTTGCCTTGTACCGTGCCTGAGCACGACTGCCCCCCTCCCCACTCCCCCCCTCCCCCGCTGGTCTGCACTCGCATTGTACTTAACGATCCTGGCCCAGTCGCGCTTTTGTCATCACTGTGTGACTTTTTGTGTTGAAGAAAACATTGGAAGAAAAGTGCCATTGCATTGTTTTGGACGTGATGACACCCAACCCTCTTAGATTTGTCATGTATGCAATGCAACGATTTTCATTTAATCATGCTTCACATATAAGATTGTGTGCGTGCCTGTGGCAGAGACTGACGCACACGCCACGCACACTTTCATGCATACATTATTTTACCAAATATCTGAGTTTTTGTGTTGCATCCAGTTGTTCCTGGATACTCACGTCAGCCCAAATTTCCAGCAAACACTGGACCACTGCTGTAGACCACTTTGCCACCATGTTTGTTAAATGGCCAGTGGCATCACTGACGTCACGTCTGTGTTCTGTGTTCAGACACGGTTAGCGATCACATCATGTGCACCGAATCCAACTGAACTGTGCCCGGGCCTGAGCACGGAAAGGTGTGATCACACTAGTCAAATGAACTAGACTTTGGGTGTCAAACATGCTTGGCCATGGTGTTCACCAGCTAATGCCAATACACCCCTAATCCCACCAGAGGATGAATAACAAGTATTATTCACGCAATATCCATTAACACCATATTCACAATTTCACTTTATTGACTTCATGAAATTTGCTTATAATTTGCGCAAAACACTGCATGTTGACAGTATTTTGATTGTTTTCCCCCCACAGAGTGGCAGGGAACTCATATGGAGGGGTGTCTGCTCTCATACCAGACACTCAGGAGTGGTGAGTAATTCAGGAGATAAAACAGAGTTTTTGGGGAGGGGGCGCCAGATGCTGCATCCGTCCTTATTTTCTGGAATTTCCCACCAGTGAAACGGCGTGCGAACCCCGGCCGGTGCCTCATCACTGTCACATCCTTCTGTGGATGCAGGCCCCCGATCCCACCAGCCAGTGCCATCAAGCGTGTAGTTAATGTCTCTGTGCTTACAGCCCCGCGACACCGGAAGGGGGAAGGAAACGGCTCTCCGCTCCGAGGGGGGGCAGGCTCACACACTGACTTGGTACAACACCCCCGCTGATCTGATTATAGAATCTTATCAGCAGCACGGCTTGCACTGACAAGGACGTCAGCATTCTTTTATGTTTTGAAGAAAGCTAATCTAACTGCACAACTAACACGATAAAACATCAGCATCAATCATTCTGGGAAAATGGTGAAGATCTTTAGACCATAACATGTTTATACACTTCAGAACCGGCAATCTTCAGAAGCATTTCCTTCAGGCTCCCTCTCTACCTTCGCGAAATGCCTCAGGACCCACCTGCTCCATGAATTCCTTTACTAACCTGACTGTTCTTTGAAAACTCTTGTATTGCACTTACTGGCCCTTGGGTTGTCTTTTTAGGTTTTTACGTTGTTAGACGTTGTGCAGCTCCTGCTCCAGTGCTGCTTACAATGTGCCTGAACCTTCACTGGAAGCTCAGCTTCTCTGAACTTAACCCTAGTTGACTGCTTGAACCAGCACGACTGTTTGCAATGTGCAGTTTGCCTCGCTTGTACAACACTTTAGACCAGGGTTCTTCAACTCTGGACCTCGATTCCAAATCCAGGCTGTGTTTTCAGTTCTCCCAGGTAGTTGTTTAATAATGACTGATTCTGATTGGTCAGAGGCTTCACACTTGACTGACAGGTAAAGGAAGGCTGGAAAACCAGCAGTGCTCGGACCTCGAGGACCGTGAGTTGAATAACCCTGCTTTAGACAAAAGCCTCTGCTAAATATGTAAATGTAGCGCATTCCTCCGACCACGTGACCACTGGGACTCTGCTGTGATTGGTCCACCCTCCCGCACTGCATGGTGCCAGCCATGCTTGACGGTGCATTTCACTGGGGTGACGGCAGAGTCATTAAGGAGGAATGCGGACTTAGGCCCCCGGGGCCATGTGGCGACGGCCCGGCGGCTCTGACCTCCATGGGGTAGATGATGGTCTGTGCCGTGGCTCCCGCCAGAGAACCCGCCACAAAGCGCTCCTGCACGCCAAGGGTCCCTCCCGCCTTGCCGCCCTTCATCAGCAGCTTGATCTGGTATGAGAGAAGCCAGTCAGGAGGCCAGGCGGGGATGGTGGAACGAGGTAGGCCAGAAGAAGGTGACAGGCTGGGCCGAGCTGTAAGGCACAAACCGGGCATGCAAAGGCGCGGAGAGAGAGAGAGGGAGGGAGAGAGAGAGGGAGAGGGAGAGGGAGAGGGAGAGAGGGGGGGAAGAGAGGGAGAGGGGGGGGGAGAGAGGGAGAGGGGGCTTGCGGCCCCACCTGCTCATATGCTAGGAACTTGATGGCGGTCTCGGGGGCAATCTTCAGCACGTTGATGCCGTTGCCCCTCCACAGGGCTGTCAGGCCACCCTCCCGCACCATCTCCCGCAGGCCACTCCACACGCTCGCCCGACCAGCACCCGAGCCGTGCACCTGAGGGGAGGACGACATCCACTGTGACTGGGGGGGGGGGGGCGTCTTTAGTGTGGGCTCACGGAACCCAAGGGCAATGCTAAGAGCGTAAGGGGGCCACCAGACTGCTGTAACCACATTGTAGCCATAGCCCAACCCACCAGACACGTAATCCGCAACTTCCCAAACCACATTTTTCATCTTCTGCGGCCAGGACCGAGTCCACACCCCTTACAGGTGTCTCAGTGCTATTTCACCTGATTCCACTTTAACTCTGCAAAGCACTGAATGACCAGTCTGTCCACCGGAGAGACACCCTCGCCCAGCCGGCCAGGCTCATACCCACCTGCAGGAAGACCTTGAGCCGGTCCAGGGGCGCGGTACCAGTGCGGGACACAGAGCCTGCCATGGCCCCAGCCATCAGCTGCCTCCACACGAACCCGGACTTGCGCTCCTGCTCCGTGAACTCATCAGGGATGGTCAAGTGCTCTCCAATGTCCAACATCTGCCAAGGATATGGAGGCAGGAAGCAGTAAAGACCCAGGGTATTGTCTGTCACACACACAGGTCCGATCCATGACCCTAAGGTCTTAGAATAGTCCATAATGGGTTAAATATGCATGTTCGATAGGCTGATTTCACATGTAGGCCAGGGGCTATCCCAGGCAGGAGGGGTCACAAGACTGGGGACACCCTGTATTGGACATTCTCACACAGTCATATTTAGGGACACCAATTAGACTAACTGCATGTTTCTGGACACACGCACCAGGGAGTGCTTCCAATAGAGGGCGATTTCCTCCATGTTGTGCAGGGGGTTGAACAGGAAGTGATCCCTCCACTCGTTCCAGTCGATGGTCATGGTGCCATCCTGGTCCATGCTGGAATAAAATGAGTAATCAAAATGAAAGGGGCCCCCTGCGCATAAAATGTGGCCCCAGCCTGCCACCCCACGCTCACCTCTGCAGAATCCTGGAGGCCTGCTCTGTGGTCACCTCCACCCCCAGGCTGCGCATGGACTGCTGGATCTCAGACAAGTCGATGCAGCCTGTAGCAGAACTGCAAACATTAGCCGCCACTTGCGTATAAGGTTCATGTCTGTGCACCGGTGTACATCGCAGAAAAATTTCGGAATTCTAACTCTAATCCTGTCCCGCCAACGGAAGTCACGGGAAAAGGGGGATAAAATAAATCGGCGAGAGCTAACAGCTTCGTAAGAAGCACTGGCTCACTGCCAGGCTACGTGACACGAGTGAGCAGGAGGAAGTAGCAGGCCGTGAAACAGCAGAAACAGGATTAGCATGAAATGGTTATGGTTTGGGTTATCCATGTGGGCGGGACCCGGCGGAGGTGGGAGTGCACTGACCGTCATCGTTACGGTCTAGGCTGCGGAACATCAGCCTCAGCTGCTTCTCCTGGGCCCGGAGGTACTCTGTGAATTCCTGGAAGTCCAGCTGGCCGTCCTGGTTGGTGTCACCAGCCTCCACGATCTGCTGGGATGGAGGCAAGATGGCGGGGTGGGGGGTGGGGGGGTGTGCCAGGGAAGTGGGATGGGGAGGTGCCATGTGATTAGGAGGAGGGGTGAGAGGAGGCGAGGGGGTGACACGTTACCAGACGCAGCACACAAACACACACACACTGCAGATCACGGTCTTAAACATCCATCCATCCATTTCAAAAAGCTACAGGCATAACGGTCTTAACGTAATATGTAATATTTAATGTAACATTTTCTTGTACTCAGAGTTCATTCACTGGCTCGTGCCCAGCTTCTTACTGGAGTCTGTGGGCCCTGCACGCAGATTCACACGTCTGTGGGTGTGCTTCCTTCCAGCAGCGCAGTGTAACTGCACGCCCTGCCAGTGCATCGAGCCCCAACACGAAGTGAATTCCTACATGCAGCTTAGAGGTCAGAAGACGGGCACATGCATGCATAAGCGAATGCCGTCTTAGACATGTATACATTATACTGGGGACCGAATGTTCCCACAATGTGATAAATACCTGCTATTTTGACATTGTGAGGAACATTTTTTCTGCCCCCACAAAGAGAAACTGAATTTTATGAAAATGTATGACTGCAATCAAAAAACTAAAAATGCCATATGTCTTGTATTTTGTTTGGTTACTTCTGATTAAGGTTAGGGCTGGGTAGGGGTTTGTTGGGTCATTGTTGGGATTAAGGTTTTTCCCATAGAAATGAATGGATGACAGTCCCAACAAAGAAATTAATACAAATGTGTGTGTGTGTGTGTTTGTCTTTGTCTGTGTGTGTGTGAGTGTGTGTGTGTGTGTGTGTGTGTGACCAGCCAAGGCCCAGCAACCTTCAAAGGCGGCTTGTCTTCCCCATCTTCATATTCACAGCCAACCAAAAAAGGTAAACACACCCCATAATATTAATGACTGCAGTGAGAGTTTTGGGAGTGACACTGGAGTTACCGCGGGCGGGGGGGCACTGAAGATGAGCTGCTGGGAATGAAGTCCAGCAGCTGCCTGGCCGGTCAAGGGGCAAGACGGCAGACAGGGACAGTGCATGACAACAGCCCGCCACCCCCCCAACACAGAAAGGAGATCCGACAGCCCCTGTTATCAGCAGACAAAACAGGCTGAAACACGAGCAGAGGCAACCATTCTGTGTGTCTGCAGAAGCAGGGTGTCAGCGTCAGCCTATGGCAGCCGCTACAGCGGCCCACGAGCGTCGGAGCCAGCGGAGAAGGGAGTAGCATGCAGTGGGGGGAGGGGGACTCTCAGCCCTCGTGCAGTGGGGGGGGGGACTCTCAGGCCTCTCAGCTGGCTCTTACGCTCTCAGACCACATCTGCGCAGTTGCTCCCTTTCCTGGACGCGCCTGTGTAATACTGTGTAAAGCCATGTAGCTCTGTGCAAACCATTAGCGCACGCTCGGTTACTGTAATAGACAGACAGTGTTTTCTGGAAATAATACATTTCAATTCAATAACTGCCAGTCCAGTCAGGGTTATGGAGCCACAGAGCTCAAACACATGTACTGAGAGCCAGATTAGATCCCATAACAGCATCACTTTGGACCTTCAGTGTCAACTGCAGAACCCCAGCATCACCGTAGCATGACCTTTCTGGAAGGCCTGACCACATGAGGTGAGCGCAGTGTGCAGACGGTGCCACGGCTGGTCGTATTTCACACAGAAAAGGAAGCCCAGCTTCAGCAGAGCGGCAGCTTGCTTCACTTCCTGTGGCGACACAGCAGGTCGGGCCTGTGGCCTCCTGCAGACCCTCATACAGCAAGCCGTTTATTCCCAGCTGGGCCAAGTTTCTGCCACTTTAAAAAAACTGTGAGCTCACCACTCCACCACGCATGCCTCAGTCAAGGGTCCGGGCCTCCGCTCGCCACTGTGAGCTCACCACTCCACCACACATTCCTCAGTCAAGGGTCCGGGCCTCCGCTCGGCACTGTGAGCTCACCACTCCACCACGCATTCCTCAGTCAAGGGACCGGGCCTCCGCTCGGCACTGTGAGCTCACCACTCCACCACGCATTCCTCAGTCAAGGGTCCGGGCCTCCGCTAGGCACTGTGAGCTCACCACTACAACACGCATGCCTCAGTCAAGGGTCCGGGCCGCCGCTCGGCACTGTGAGCTCACCACTCCACCACGCATGCCTCAGTCAAGGGTCCGGGCCTCCGCTCGGCACTGTGAGCTCATCACTACAACACGCATTCCTCAGTCAAGGGTCCGGGCCTCCGCTCGGAACTGTGAGCTCACCACTCCACCACGCATGCCTCAGTCAAGGGACCGGGCCTCCGCTCGCCACTGTGAGCTCACCACTCCACCACGCATTCCTCAGTCAAGGGTCCGGGCCTCCGCTCGGCACTGTGAGCTCACCACTCCACCACGCAAGCCTCAGTCATCATATTTTTGGTTCGGTGTCAATGTTCAAAAACACATTATTTTCTCATACTGTACATATTCATTGTGTCTAAAGCTCCACCCCTGGTGAGCCCACTGTGCGCTGATAGGTCAGCTTTCAATGATAACAGTATATAAAACACTAAAGGAGAGGGGGAAAGCCAGAAAAGCAAGAATGTGTCTCTCTAAAATCTCCGGATATAATGTCCAGACAATATGAAAGTATGAAAAATCCTGATCTCAAACCAGCTGACAATCACGGCCCTTATGATGTGAGAATTGCATGTGTATAACATTAATATCGCACATCAGCCAGCCCTATAATATACTACAGCCATTTTTCAAATTCAGTACAAAATACCCCACCTCGCGTTGTACTGTTGTTCAGTGCCGGTACCAGTTTTTACACCAGTGGAAAACCACAGCTTGAAGTTCTGTACCTTTGGAACCATTTTGCTGTGTTAGTAGATGTTGTGTGGCTGTTGCTCCAGTATTGCTTACATTTATGCCTGGGTATTCATCAAAAACTCATCAACTCCTTGACAGGAATTTCTTTGTAATGTGCTGTGTGCCTGATATCTACATCGTTTTGACGTATATGATTGTTTTGTCATTTTCAAATCCTGGCCTACAAAGTTGGCCAACATTGCTTTGGCGCCATTATTACTAGTGCAGATGTTGTTCTATAGCTTAACGTAACACACACATACACTCCTATTGGGGTTTAAAATGCACATCAATACACAGACACACAACTTACAGTGACGTTTCATGTTAAGAGACAGGAGCACTCTGGAAGCCCGCCCCCTCAAGGAAACCTTCCAGCGCTATTGGTGGTGTCACAAGCAGTTTATCCAATCAAATTGAAGAACACAGAACACCAGCGGTGACATGTCTGCACAGATCTATATTTACCTAATTGTCACAGATTTTACTCCAGGTAATTTAGGCAAAATCCCCACAGTATTCAGTCAATAATTAATCAGGGTGTTTTTCCTTAATAATGCAGATGATTATTATTACACATTATAATACCATTATAAACAACATGTTTCAGCCCATTTTCACTGTAATATCACTATGCCAGCTGCGTAAAATGGGAAATGTATTTCTTGAGGTCACTGTAAAACGACATTCGTATGTTACCGTCTGTGATAAAGGCGAAACGGTACCGAATGTCCCGTCAGACCGATGACCCATTAGGTGGTTCTACTCTTCCACGGCTGACCCTGTGTGGGCGGATTCTCCATACCACAGATTCCTCTCTGAAGGTTCCTAAAGCTCAGGTTTGGTAGGACGGGCTGCTTTGCTTCTGCCCGGCCCTGACCCCCAACAATCCGCACGATCAGCCTGGTGAAAGGTCACCCCATGCCGTGATAGGAGGCTGTGATTGGGCTAAACACACCTGACTTAGTAGGTGTCTCCCAAACAGATGTGGTCGTGGGACAGTAACACAGCGCGGTGCTGCGCGTCTGTACCTATAACAGGGCCGGGGTACTGAGACCGGGCGGCGCAGCCTTACCTCCTCCACTGCGGTCCGGAGGAGCCCCCGGGCGGCCAGGCCAGTGCGCAGCTCGTTCACGTCGATCCGCCCGTCCTTGTTCAGGTCCAGCTGCTCGAAGAGCTCGGTCCAGCACCGTTCCCGGTCCGGGTCCGAGTCCGGGCGGTCCTGACACCGAGCCCGGCGCAGAGCCATGCTGGCGTGTCGCACCAGCTCCAGCACCGATCCGGGATTTCTAGCGGGACACAAACGGGACCGACTAGGTGCACTGAAAACGATCCGTACCGCGGAACGCGAGTTAACTTTAAATTAGGCTACATCTAATATGCAAAAAGGAGCGTCCGGGTGCAGCGGGCTGCCAGCGATCAGCTCCCCGAAACCGTGCGCGCCGACAAGCTGTGACACTTGATCCGAGTTTACTTTCCATAAGGAGAAAGCCGGTGTTTTATTGGCCGGTGTTACCCGTCCCCCCCTCAAAGCGCCGCGGGCGGCAGCACAGCCCCGAACCCACACGTGTGTGGCGCTTCAAGCCCAGCACGGCACGGCCAGCTCCAAAGCGGCTGTGTTCGGCAGAAACGACCGCATTTCCACAGTATAAACCGACGGGGTGCAGCCCTCCTCCACTGGGCTCCTCCTCCTTCCAGTACGGCTCGCTTTGGGTTTCAGGAAGGATTAAACCCCGGAGACTGGTGACCGGGTACGAACCCAAAGGAGCCACCTTTCCCCCTTACGGGACCACATGTAATGTCTGACCGGACACGGATCGTTAAAAAGAAGCGAAAGGCAGAAGGGCGTCTTGAGCCGCGACTTCCCGTCGGGTTTTGCTCAGACGCGGAAAGCGACGGTACGGGGATGTTTTTCCGCATCGGAATGGTGGGGAAGCAATGGCAGAAACAGTCTGATGGTCTTTCTTCGGAAACTGCATAAGTGTAATTGCCATAAATCCTGCACTGGATTTCAGTTTAACCTAATCAGGCGTCTGAATCAGATACCGAACAGTGATTACCAGACACCCTTTCTATCTACATTATTTATAAGGTAACCAGCTGCTCGTTGTGTGGCTTTGTAATGAACTGTGCGACCGGCTTCCATCGTTACCTGGTCTAACCTCAGTAAATCCCGTTTACCATGTACACCGCTTTTATACAATGAAGCACAAGGAGAGGCGCCCCCTGTCATGCAGACCCCGACACAACAGGTAGCTTTGCAAGGTTTGGGTTAAAGTGACATTTAAAGCAAATTGTCGCATTTACTGCAGTTCTTTTCTTGGGAAAGCCCCGAATAATGTAAGTTCACTTCTGAAAAGACAAAAGATGTTCAGAGGAAGTTGTGCACACAATTGCATGTGATCGGGATGAAAACAGAATAGAAAATATTTTGGCTCTGACGGCCGGGCATTTGGAACAGACGTTTGGAAAATGATTGTCTCATTTGGAGGCGTCATTAGCTCAGTTGCGGTACTGATAACCGTGAGACAAAGCCCGAGGGCAGGACAATCTCCACTTGTGCGCAGTATATGCGACCATTTTGCAATATTATAAAATATTCTGTAGTCTGTATATTCAGTATATAGATTAAATTCTGTTAGGCCGAACAATCTTTGTTCATAATATTTTCCCATTTGAGGCGTCATTATTTACGCAGTTGAAGTTAATGACGTGTCATAACTTAAAAGCACCTGTTTTTTAAGATTTCATTATTGTTATTCGCAGTTATTTAATTGTTTAGCTGTATAAAAATGTCACCTAGGGCATATTACATTTCAAATAATGATTTCTACGGTTTTACCGTTTGCGCATCTATTTTGGCATTGGCTGCAGCCAGGCGCTCTTGGTAGCGGCTGGGAGGGGGAAGGCGCCACTTGGGCTAGGACCTGCCCTGCCTATTACCATAAAGACGTTAATTGGTTGTAATAGCTTTTCCCCCAGTGACACAGCGCAGGTTTCCTTCCGGGGACCCGAAATAAATGTCTGGGCTGCGGATTTTTGCGCCGTGAGACGGAGCGCAGCCATAACCAGAAGAATGATCGCTGCTTGTACGGGGCTTCCCTACAAGGGCATGCGCGAGGCGCTGCGGCCGGCCTGCTGGCCTCGCTCTCCAGAGCCTTGAGGTGGCCAATGGGAACCGACGTGGCGTTTGATTTATATTTATATTATAAGTCATATGTTTGGAATAAACTTCCTAGTCACGGAAACATAATCCCGTGATTCATTAAGTTCACCACTAAATACAGTTCAGATCCAGTTGATTAGCTGATGCTTTTTATCCAACGCCAAGGTTTTAAGTGCCATAGTGAAGCGCAGTTTGGTCATAGATGCTACGGGCTGCCTGAGATGTGAAGCAGCGCCTCCTTAACTGTGACTCCACATGTCAAACAGTTATGAAATATGCAGCTATAGAAGGTAACTGACCATTAGTTATCCATCATCATAACTGCTAATCCACTGCAGTGAAGACCGTCCCAGTAAGTGGCACTCGAGACAGGCCGTGGACGGGGCGCCAGTCCATCACAGACCTCACACACGTCCTCTGCTTGATCAGACACACCAGGGCATGATTTCTCACGCACAGTCGGGCCCTGAGCAGGAAGCCCAGGAGTCCAGGGCGTCTAACAATACAATCAAAACAATGTTGGTTCAGAATGGCACCGAGTTTGTTATTTTTCACTGCAGTGTGATCCCATAATTCATAGCATCAAAAAAAATCTCGCAAAGCCAAAATCAATAGATAAAGTAAATGAACATAACATTAATTAGTAATTAGCTATTCAACTAAACTATTCATGGTGAATTATTTATCTTCCATGAACTGAGACCCTCAGGACATGACCATACTGTGTGCACTAAAACATCTAGTCTGTTTCAACATCTGATATTTAAAGGTTTGCTCTGAAAGGCAGGTCAGGCTACCGGGAGAGCAGAGGGAGTCTGAACACAAGGAACATGTGTGAACTGCACACGCACACACACACACACACACACACACAAACACACACACACACACAGAGCTGAGGGTGGGAGCTGAGCTCTCACACCCTGACAGAGGGGGTATTAGGGGACAGCAGTCTCCTGTGCTGCTGAAATCGATATTAAGCTGCCCGTCAGTCACGAAAGGTGATGGTTCCACGTACCGTCCCCGTGGCGACAGGTGACAGGCGTGTGAGGTGCCAGAACGAGGCTCCATCCTGTGGCTCCGCGGAGCAGCTGTCCTGCTTTCACCATCCTGCCAACGCTGAATGCTGCTCAGAGGTGAGAGACCATGGCTGGCGTGAAAGGCCGCTGTCTGCCACCAGCTCCTGCCTCTTATCAGTGTACCGTCCCGTGAACAAAGCCCAGCTGTCCCCGCCCCGCCCACGGTGCCCGCCCGCCTGCCCGCCGCTTTGTTCTGCTCCTCAGAGCTGCTCCCTCCCTTCAGGACATGTTGTGACACCTGGCAGGGGCTCAAATCTGCCTGATTCACACCCTGATTAGCTAGTTGGACCCCCACCAACCTTATAAAGGGTGTGGTATTGCACTCTGGAGTGAGAGGAAACCAGAGGCGTCAGAGAGCAGCTCTTCACTGCAGGTTCTCTCCCTGGTCGCGATTCCAGAAGCCGGTCACCAATGTGTCGGGGATTAGCATCTTTCCCCTCGTCATGCTTGGAAAAGTGAGTCCAGAGTTTTGTGTGTCACGTCTGTGGCACATTCTCTTCCTCACTATCCCCAATGTGCTTGATGTTCTGCTGATGTGCTCTTAAACACTGATTATTTCTGCACCCAGATGTTCATGCGTGATGTGCAGCTGTGGGCCGTCTGGTCACATGATTGTGTCTGCGTGTGTTTCAGAGCAAAGGGGATGCGGGTGAAGATCAGTCACCTGGCTCAGAAGCATGAGTGGACCCACAAACACAGGTAGCGCCATCTGTCATGGATCTGCAGGCGTGCTGCTGCCGTTCTGTGTCGATCTCGGAAATCCCCACAGTCATGCTCCCCTCTCACCCCGTTCAGAGCATCGGAGGAGAAGGTCCTTCCGGATCTGGAAACTCTGCTCAGCAACAAGGGTACGCAGAATCAGAGTCAGAATCAACTTTATTTGTCACGTACAGCCCGAGTTTGAGGAATTTGTTTTGGTGTAATCAGTCACATTAAAATGAGTTGCAAAAATAATGTAACAGAGTATTAACGATAACCAACCAGAGACACAGAGTATACACAAATAAGCAAGATGAAACATTTGGATATGGTGCAAAAGGACCAACTGCCCAGATAGTTCAGTGCAGAAAATGTACAGCAGTACAAAAATAAACAATAAATGATAAAGATATAGAGTGGGTGAATAATGAGGAGGATGCAACAATGCATTGATTTCATAGGCAATATGACCTGACAAAACAAATTGTTCATGAAGTGCAACGTCTTAGGCAATGAAAACGGATCAGCCAGAGGTTTCATGCTTGAGCATATTCACCTTTGGTTTCCCTGGTTGGACACATCTTTGATGGTTTGTTTCCTACCCTCTGTGTTCATGTGAGTTATCGTTTCCTCTGCTGAGTCACAACACTCTGTCCTCAGTGGGCCTACAGGCCTTCCAGTGGTTCTTGCGTTCTGAGTTCAGCGAGGAGAACCTGGAGTTCTGGCTGGCCTGTGAGGACTACAGGAGGTCGGAGCTGAACCAGCTGGAGACCAAGGCCCAGTGCATCTATAGTCGGTTCATCAACTCTGAGGCACGACAAGAGGTGAGCTGGGTGCTGGGGGAGGGGGCAAGCATAGGAAGAAGGGGGAGTAGGCTGGGGCTCCTGAGGAACGTAGGGACCTGTTTGGTTGATGGGCTTCACATTTCTGTAAATATGGTGGCCTTTCACCATACTATGAATAAATGTGCGTGCAGGTAAATTTGGACTCCGAGACTAGAGAGGCTCTGGTGAGGGTGATTGAAGATCCCAGAGCCGACGCCTTCGATGAAGCCCAACAGAGCATCTACAGTCTCATGGTCAAGGACTCCTTCCCCAGGTTCCTGCGTTCAACCCACTGCCAGGAGGTGCTGAAGACTCTGTAAACTACACCACCTACTGGCCTGGAAGACCAAGAGCAGCCTTCTACAATGACCTCCCAGTGCAAGTGACTCTATGCTAAGATCATTATTAATAGCAGTGTACAAAATATCTTTAGCATGGATATTCATATAGGCTATAGTAACTTTAATAAAACTAGTGTATCATCTATATATATATATGATCAGTTTGTTTGTCTGCCAATATTACTGGAGATAATTCGATCTCCTAGAGATCTATAGAGATTAGTGTATCACGCATGTCATGCTGGCTGTGGAGTGCACCACCTGCTGTCCAGCACACAGCACTACACCAGAGAACAGACAACCTGACAGGTGGGGCACGGTAAGCTCAGTCAGGCCTGAAACCCCATGAACTGGAGGCTTATTTGCAGTGATCACTCCCTCTGGACCTCAGACGCACGAAACGTCACCATTCACACATTTCTGTGTGTTTTATTTCAGGATTGTGCCAGAACACCATGCGTTAATGGTACATCAATCTCATACAGGTGGCTGAGAGAAAAAGGCTCATATGATCAGATCATCACTGGGTGGGAGGGGAGTCACATACTTACACACCTTACTGGTTCTGTAAGGCAGGCCACAAACAGATTAAATCACACTGCATATTCACTTCCCAGTCCCTGGTGGACAGGAGCAGCTCAGCTAAGTGATGCATAATTTTACAAATTGTGCACAAACCGCAATAACTCTTAATCTGGGGACACTTCTGTGATACAACTGTCATGGTGAGAACAACGGGTAAGTGGCACCATCTATGGGGGTCATACTGCCTGTAGAAGGAAACATTTGAATGGAAAAGTCTGAATTTACGCATTGAGATATCACTTTTACTACAAAGCTTATTTGCCCCTCATCGTCATACTTTGCTGCCCCCTAGCGGGAGAACCAGCGTTCGGTCTCATTAAAACAAATGCAGCAAGAGAAGCGCCGCAGTCCGGAAACGTTATTTGGAGGAGCTGGATGAAGGGCGCGGGGGTCCGGTGCGCTGTCCGTCGCTCTTTTTCAGGATGCTCAGATTCTTGTGCAAGGAGGAGCTGGCTCTCTGGGTAACTTCCTCCTCGATCTTTTTTCTGATCGCCACCTCCAGGCCCTGTAGGTGGAAAATGAACCTTGAAGCGTAACCGACTGACACGGTGATCAGCATGAGCCGTCAGTGCCCAAAAAACAAACACAAATAAAATGAACAGGATGTTGACTCGTCCGAGAATAATACACATTGGCACCATACCTATGACCTAAGAATGCTTCCACCTTAGCCGATGCACGTTTTCATTCTTAAGGTTACACGGACTTCACCTTGTACTGGTTTAAAACTCTCGCCGAACACGCCTTTTCGACGTTTTACTGATTTAACCGGAAAAACGTATGAATAGTGAATGTCTCACCTTTTTCAGCTTTTGCTGCTGAACCACCTGCGCCTTTTTCGGGGCAATTATCCTCCCTATGACGACATTGAGGTCAAAGTAGGAAATATGGGAACAACATGCGAGATGGGGCACAGCTGCCGGCCAACCTGGCGCGATCACAGCACAAACAGGTTTATGTGAAGAAGGGGTAGGGCAGAACGGCGACATGGAAGCCTGCTGTTATATTTCGGGTAGGATTAAAGTTGAAGGGAAATTGTTTGCAAAGGGACATTTAAAAGCGTTTACCTGCCATATTAAGACCAAGAATACAATGTATCAAAAACAGCACTGTAAAACGTTTCTCATTTTGCTGTGCATGCGTGCTATTACGGTACCGCCATTCGGGTTCGAATGCATTTAGAGCCAAAATGGCGACTCAACGCACGTTAGGCTCAGCTTCGTCTGCTCAAAAGAAAGAAACAAGGGGAGTTATGAATTTCATAACTGCGTATCTACCTCCTTTCTTTGGACCCTTCTGTTTGTGCTGTGGCTGCTGTTTCTTGGCTCCCCCGGGCTTTTGCGCCTTGAACTTCTGTTTCCCTTGCGCCATGATTCCGCCTGCAGCATTAACTGATACGCAGAGGATCACGGGGCGCATCACGTGACGCAAACTGTATTACGGGAAATACGACAACGCGCTTGTGAAATTTGCCGGGATAACAGATAACGCACAATCCGCTTATTATAGTAAAATATTTTTCTGTAAACTGTGGGGCACCAGTTGACAAAACGATTCAATTGACCTGACATGCAACACAAAATGCGCTATCTTATTAGAAAGAAATTAGTATGGATCTGATAAAACCCCAGGAGCTGCCTTCAAAGAGTGCATATTCCTGAATGATTTTATATATTTGGGATTTCAAAACAATAAATAAACTAAAAATTTGTAGTATTCCCGACAGGACGCTGTTGCCCTATTTAAGGTGAATGTAGTCAGATCGGACAGCCAGACACCGAAACGCAGACTTCATCCGCACAAAAAGGGTTTAGTCTCGATCCTTTATTTAAGTCGTGGTGAAAGAAACATTTCTTCCTTTAAGTATGTAATATACAGCATATAGTGATATATTTAAAAAGACACCCAGCGGTACCATTTCCACAGGATAAAATAAGCGGACAAAGTCGTGACCGATAACACCTTAAAAGAGAGCCTCTTACATAACACTGACCGCCACAGGTACCCGTCCGCAATCATCCCGTGGTTACAGCTCGTCTTTTCACTCATATTAATCTTGCCGCCATGCAATACATTTTGACTTTCACGTCGTTCATCCGTCTTTGGCGTCTGTCAGGTGGTGGCACCATTGTTAGGGCTGATCATGGACTCTGTGATGGACCGACTTGGGTTCACTATACAGGGCTCACCCAGGGAAGCGCGGAAGGGACCCGCTAGGTTCATTAAAAAGGTTTTTGTTTTGAACTCAGTGTTTGGGCTGGTCAGTATTTTGTGAAAGAGGTCTGTCAGTCCTGGTCTTAAATCACAGTTCATCACCAAGAATCACAGGAAGAAAAAAAAAATCACAATTCTTCATGATACCGAACAAACCTGAAACATCAATCAAACACATATGGTGATGAAGTTGCTACATTATTCTTGACTCTTACTCCCCCCCCCCTGCTCCTCAAAATGGAAATGTCCTGACTTGAGCTCCCCCTGTGTGAGGTCTCCCAGGCAACCGCAGCTTGACTGGGCACCCATATTTTCCAGTTTCCAATTCATTAAAAAAAAAACAGGCCACGAAGTCAGAGCACAGTGTTCTAAGCTGAGGATGGACAGACACCCTGATCCCAAGGGACTCCTCAAACCAACTGGGCTACCTGTGAAACAGGCAATAGGTGTGGGCTATGCAGAATGGGCTATTTAAACCAGCTGGGCTGGCTGTGAGAGGTGATGGGTTATGCAGAATGAGCCATTTAAACCAGCAGGGCTGGCTGTGAAAGAGGTGATGGGGTTGGGCAATGCAGTGTGGGCTATTTAAACCAGCAGGGCTCCCTGTGAGAGGTGATGGGGTGGGCTATGCAGAATGGGCTAATTAAACCAGCAGGGCTGGCTGTGAAAGAGGTGATGGGGTGGGCTATGCAGAATGGGCCATTTAAACCAGCTGGACTGGTTGCGAAAGAGGTGATGGAGAATGGGCTATTTAATCCAGCTGGACTGGTTGCGAAAGAGGTGATGGAGAATGGGCTATTTAATCCAGCTGGGTTGCCTGTGAGAGGGGTAGCAGTGGGCTATGCAAAATGGAGTATTTATTTATGATCTACAATATAAGCACTAATTACTATACATTTTCTTTTAGTCCCTATTTCTCTGCCTTGTGTGGCTTGTGATGCTCAATCCCACCCCCCAACTCTCCCCCAGGCCCATTTTGAACTGTACCAACACCTTTGTACACCAGCCTTTGAATTTCTGACTTCTGAGCCTAAGGCAAGTGAGTAGAGGTGACCCACCCGGCACGGGATGGGTCGGTGACATTCAGTGCAGGTGCTGTACAGCGTGTGGGGGGGGGCGCACATGGTACAAAGGAATGGATTAAAAATTGGGACCCCACAGTCTTCAGATGGTACTTCAACATTTAAAATGATCTTGATAGAAGGGCTGAACTTTTGTGAACAAACCAACTCTGCCTCCTAAGTGTATAAAAATTTCTAAAACAGAAATACAAAAAAAAGACAAAGATTTAATAACATTTGGTATAATTCCAAATATGTAAAATTTTGCACTATATATGTTTGTAATCTGCTTAAGGATAGTAATTTGGAGTGTAACCGCATCACTTATCTAGATCAGGCTGATATGTATTTAAATACAGGCCGAAGCGCAGAGGAGGCGGGATCGGCCACTCAGTACCGCTGTCATACAGGCCGAGGCACCGAGGAGGCGGGATCGGCCGCTCAGTACCGCTGTCATACAGGCCGAGGCGCCGAGGAGGCGGGATCGGCCGCTCAGTACCGCTGTCATACAGGCCGAGGCGCCGAGGAGGCGGGATCGGCCGCTCAGTACCGCTGTCATTAGGAGGGTGCCTGACTGGCGCGCCCTAAGGCCCCAAGCAGCCTGCACACACTTCATGTGGCCAGAAGCATTTATTTACATGGAATGCGTGCATTTCCCACTCAAAATGCATCTAAAGCCTCTGAATAGAAACAATGAGCTTCAACTGAGGGCAGCCGCTGAGAATTGCTGACAGTGTGGAGGGGCAGGTCTGAGGGTGAGAAAGGAGGACACCGAGGGTGGGGAGAGGGACACAGGCACCGGGATGATGGAGGTGGAGGGGGGGGCGAGGGGGCAGTTTGTGTGCGTAACCACCCCAGACGACAGTGTCAATGTGATGGTGATCAATACCCCTCCCCCCCATGCCACATGCCAGTAGAGTGAGTGTGTGTGTGTGTGTGTGTGTGTGTGTGTGTTGAGCAAAGGGGGGGGGCAGGGGGGTGGGCGGGTAGTGGAGAGTGGGTCTAGAGGGCGGTGAGGCGTCCCGTCAGCGCCGCCTGCAGCTCCGAGGGCAGGAAGACGCCCAGCTCTGTGATGATGCCCCCAGTGATCAGCTGGTGTGGGGTCACGTCAAATGCTGGGTTCCATACCTCGATGCCTGGGGGGGGGGGCACCTTGTTAACGCAGAGGGTACAACAGCCAACCCCCCTTTCTCCTGCAACTACACATTACTCCCCCATGTTCCATACCCATCTGCTCCCCCCTAGCCCCTGCCCCAGAGTAATTAAGATATTAATTTACTATGTTTAATTAAGACCGAAAGTGTTAATTGAATCATTAGTGACCCCCACCCCCCCCAGTCTTGTCTCATTTCCACCAACACGGTGCTGGACTTTTTCCCCAATCTGGGCTGGTTCTGTGTGTTTCCACTGCAAAAAACTGACCCTGGGCAAGAAAAAACAGCTTCAGTACGGCACCGCAGGAAAGCGGGTCTCAGAATCTGGAGCCAGAACAGGCTGTCGCGTCCACACTGTCCACATACCCTGAAAACTCAGTCCATAATTGATATAGTTCAGTCTAATATCGCCAGTGCTGGCAGTGAAACAACTTGTCAGCTTATCAGTAGAATAACGTTACATCGTCCTTTTATTTAATGAAAAACTAAAGTTCGATCTGCTGGACTGATTTAATAATATATTACAAACATGTCGCAGATTGAATAAACAAAAAATTGTGGCACTCGAGTGGCAGACAGGAGGCATGACTGCAAAGTTCAGTTTTTAGCAGACTCTTTTACTGCACAACCCTTAAAAGGACAGAGAGCGAGAATATAGAATAAACTCACTTTCACACAGACGGGGAGCCTTTAAAGGCTCATTTTTTCAGTTTGGCAGCTTATAAAAACTTGAAATCCGAAACATCGAAATAAATTCACGAAAACGGAATGGACATGAGCCTCTACTGTACTCTTACTTCCGCCTACATAACATTTCTGTTCCGTTCTTTTTTGAAACCAGTGGAAACGCAGGCAGGTTCTCAAAAGGCACCAAGCGGAAACCAGCCCAGCGCTGGCACCAGTGCCAGCTCCGTATTGGTGGAAATGAGGTATTAGGGGGAGACGTCTTAAATCCAACCCCCCACTCCTGGATCTACCTGGGGCAGCGATGGGGTTGCCATTGATGCTGGTCAGCTCCTCTGGGGGGCGCTCCTCTATCACGATGTCCCTGCCAGTCTCCATGCTCAGGTCACAGGAGGTGCTGGGCGCTGCCACGTAGAAGGGGATGCCGTGGTGTTTGGCTGCAATCGCCAGCTGGTACGTGCCCACCTTGTTGGCCGTGTCGCCGTTGGCGACCACACGGTCGGCTCCCACCACCACAGCTGCAGACGACAGGGAGCAGCAGGTGAGGGGGAGGCAGGTCAGCTGACCCACCAATCACTCACACACACATATACACCCATCACTGACAGAGACAGACTGACACAGGGCGGCAGTCTCACCCGTGACGCCCTGCTGCCGCATGGTCAGCGCCGCCATGCTGTCCGTGATGAGTGTGGCTGGCATGCCCTCGGCCACAGCCTCGTATGCGGTCAGCCTCGCCCCCTGGTTGTACGGCCTGGTCTCTGTGCAGTACAGCCTCTTCAGCCGGCCGAGGGCGTGCAGCGAGCGGACCACGCCTGCGGAAGAGGCCAGGGTGAAAGGGACGCCGGAGACACGACCATTAACCCCATCTGCATGCTGTAGGCTGCTGGTTCGAGTCCCCTCATCCTGCGAAATACCCTTTAATGAAGCGCTTGGCCTGGAAGAATGATGTGGGAGATTAAACTGTTTATGTACTTCTGGATTAAGTATTTACAAATGTAACAAAGAAATCTGCTCAGCAAAAATCACACGGGTCTCTTAGGCCCCACAGTGAAGCAGCAGGCTGGAGATCAGGGTTCATCTAACAATGAGCAGATGTGACCATTAAACCTTAAACGCCATTCATAAATTGGTCCTGGTTCTAGACTGAGCCCTCATAGCACGGGAGAGAGATATGGGGGCTTTGTTCCAAAAGACTGGAGGGCAGCAAATCGCCTCACTGGCTCTTTTTATCTGGACCTCCATCCATTCTTAGGCCATGAGAGAATGAGGCTTACCAATATGATATGTTAATGAGAAAACATCACTGACAATAATGTGAGGTGGCCTCCCCTCTGCCAGTGAGGCTGTCATGATTCAGAGGAGAGACTGTATCTGATAGTGTATTGGAGAGATGAGTCAGCGCAGAGGGAAGAATGAGTCATGACAGCTTCACTGGCAGTCTCCCCCTGCATTGACTCAGCTCTCCGATACACTATCAGATACAGCCTCCCCTCTCCCAGTGAAGCCGTTATGACTCCCCCTTGTGCCAGCTCAGCTCACCGATACACTTTCATACAGTCTCCTGCCCGCCAGTGAAGCAGTCATGACTCAGTCTCCCCTGCATTGACTCAGCTCTCTGATACACTATCAGATAAAGTCTCCTGCCCGCCGGTGAAGCAGTCATGACTCAGTCTCCCCTGCATTGACTCAGCTCTCTGATACACTATCAGATACAGTCTCCTGCCCGCCGGTGAAGCAGTCATGACTCAGTCTCCCCTGCATTGACTCAGCTCTCTGATACACTATCAGATACAGTCTCCTGCCCGCCGGTGAAGCAGTCATGACTCAGTCTCCCCTGCA